TTTTCATATATAATTATATGATAAACAGAATATTACGTGTTTGCTTGGAGATATGAATTCTCGTGTGAGATCTTATCAACACTACAATCCATATCTCAAGGCACCCATGCAATATCCTCTAATTATGTACATGTAATTACTTTAATTTCCAAACATACCCAAATCATCTTCAGTATCTTGCATGTTCAAATTATATTTGTCTCTCATTCTGTCTCCCAGTTTATTTCTGGTCCAAAATTTGCTGCAAGAATACAAGATTCTCATAACTCATTGTAGAAATGATGAATAGCATGCAAATCAAATGRATAATAACAAATGACACAAACAATCTATAGAGTGGACAATTTKATCATGTGAATATCTTTATCCAATGCTTTGTTAAACTGCTGCAATTTGCAAAGTTGTGTTCAGGAGATCTTGTTATGAAAGTGCTTCAGGGTATTGTATAGATTTGTTTGTTTGTTTTTAGCTCCTTTTTTGTTAGAAATACAGTCATGTACATGTAGATGTGATTAATAATTATTCACCTTGAGTGGTCATTGGATCCTGAGCATAGGATATGGCCCAATGGATGCCATGCTAGGCTCCATACCATTCCATCATGGGCTGATTCCATGTTGCCAACATCCTTTTCAACTCTGTCAAGAGACAATATTATTATCAAAAACACAAAGCAATAAAAAATACTGAAAAAATTAATTGTGCACTGACTGTCAATCACTGGGGACTTTCTCAACTAGAAGAACAAGTTGTCTGTAGGACCACYGTCATAGAACACACAGTCATTTATCATGATATAACCCATATTTCAGCCCTAYGAGTGCTCTTAAAAACCTTTGGGAAATGGTCACATGATGGGAGCTGTACGGCTTTTCAYGACAGGGSTGTWCAAACCCRTATCTTCMCAGCTTGAAGTCCCGCACACTTTTATTTTCTTCACACWTCTTTTCATCAAAGAAATGGCTTAAAAAACRTTGTCATATGATAAAACGCTTATTGACTGAGTTAAGTCGGGCCWTACRGGAAAATATTTGGCTCTCRGTCATTTGTAYGSACCTCAYTGSGMTTGTTCCATACGGCATAACCTYGAGCCAAATATTTTCCCATAYGGCCCTCCCACTCAGTCAATAAGTACATAGTCTTACATACAAAAGCTATATCTARACATTAATTCTTAWTATTTACCCRGCATTCCAAAACATGATTGCTCCATCTGACCCACCACTTGCAAACAAAGACTCATGGATGGGATGCCATGCTATCGCTGCAAAATAATAACASAATTTGTGTCTTTTAATTAAAATTCAATATATAAATTACCAGTGATAAATGCTACAATCTTAATGTTGATGCATAATAAAAATTAGAACACCCTTTGCAGATAAACCCTCCTATTAGTWYAATGTTGTTTTCATTTTAAATTTCCTGGMATTCCTAACCCACAACTGTAAAATTGATGTGGGGGAAGGGTTGGGGTGAAACAAATATCCACAAGATGCATACTAGAAAGAATTTTGTCATACCAAAGGGACAAATTGTCAAGAGTTTGATCATATACAGCCTTTTGCAAAAATTATGAGAATTGTTGAAATATCTAAATATCACAATATCGAGTGCATGATGGTTAATCCTGCGCGATGCCCTTAGTCCCTTGTCTTTGTAGTTTAGTTTTTTTTTTGGCGACAGACTTATCCGTGGTTCTGAACATTTTCTTGATGTCAACAATGAATTATTCTAGCAAACCCGCGTGTTCCAGACAATATATGGATATGGATATTATGATATTTAGATATTTAGACAATTCTCATAATTTTTGCAAAAGGCTGTATGTATGTAAAATAGAGCAATATAAATATTAAACATTATTATTATTATTATCAATAAGAGTTTATGACCAAGATTGCAGGCATGGATTGATAATATATCACTAACCAGTGGCTTCTCGTTTATGTCCTCTGAAACTCTGCAACTCTTTCATCATCCTAATGTCAAATAACTTAAGAAGATGATCACGTGATGCTGTGAGCAACCAGTTGCCATTTTGATTCCATTTGATGCTCATAACAGTGCTCTTGTGTAAATGTCTGAAAAAAGCATTTTTAACATCTCTGTTGTAAGGATGACATGTACAGCACTCAATGTGGTAAATGTATGTAAGGGGTATAGGATGGTGTCTCAAAAATCGGGAGTCTCGCCAAAAATTTTCCAAGGCTCGCAAGCTCTGTGCCTAAAAGAAAGGGGCTCGGAATTAAAATTGCTTTTGGCTCGGAAGCTCGCAAATGGGCTCGACGAGGCTCGGATTTTACCATTCGATACCCGTTATGTATTTTTGTCTGAAATACATGTAGGCAACAATTCAAATGAATTTTGGTGATTTGAGACTTCAATCGATTTCTAGCAATACTTTTGAATCAATATAACATTGATTTCATTAATAATTTTATTTTCATGATTGGATTAAATACAATTTTCTTAAAAGTTTTTTCCTGACAAACAGAAATCTTGATTTCAACTAATTATGTATTTAAATGAAAATATTGCATATAACACAACTGTGAAAAAAGTAAAATGACTCACAATGTTG